AAATCGGTGCTAAATTTAACTTTTTTTTTAAACACAAGATAACTATAAACAATACTGATTGATATGCACCGACATAGTATTATCATTTCTACATAAACAGAGGACAAAAGATTAAGAGCAGCCACTGAAATCTAAATGCTTTATCCTTTATTATATCAATATTTAAAATAAACTTACTACCAAATATTAATTTATCTATTTACCGGTAGTGTGGTTCCTCTATATCACCTTGCAATTTTAAAATCGAGATAAATGTATACCCAAAGTTATGAACATTAACAGGTAGTACCGATAACATCACAGCAGTTTATCTGAAAAGCCACTATCTTGAGCAGTGTTTCCTAACTTTAAATAAAGTTAAAATATACATTATTTACCATATAACGTACATTAATAAGTATTTGTTTAAAAAAATCTTTTCTGGAAGTATCTTTTAAAATCTCTTGTCTGAGTACTTTTTTCAATATTATTTAAAATACTCATTTGAGTACCTAAAAAGTATTTGAATACTTTTACCCTAGTACATTATAAGACTTCTTATAATGTTCATCGTTGTTTGTCTTCTAAATTATTATAATATTGACAGTGGAAACATAACATTGATAACAATGTATTTAAAATGTGTTTTGTATTTGCTGAAGTAATACGAATAAAATTATATTAAATTTAAAAAAAAATCATCAATATATAAATTCTTGCAAGTGCTTGATTTTTATGGCTAGATCTTTGTGAAATTCTTTGTAATTTTGTAGAAGAACCGCGATTAAGCCATCGCTATAATTCTTAGAGAGATTCTTTTATTTATTAAATAATATGTTTATTATTTTATTTCTAGATAGCAAAAGTGAGTGCATATTGTATTATTTATTAATTTTTTTAAAATTTTTTTTCATTTTGCAATTCAACTTGTGTGATTTGTGTCTCATATGTGAAGTGGTCATTATCATACTCACATTTATTCTTAGGAAGGTACTCATTGAGTACTATTTTAGCTATGAATCCTTTAAGTCAACAAGCGGTCATATCCCATTATTGGGTAAGGCTATTGTCTATTACCACCATATCTAGATAGCCCTGAAGTATTGTTACTCTTGTACATGAAGGTGTATTTTTAAAAACGTTTGAGTCTTCGGGTTCCTTAAACTATGAAAAACTCAACTTACATTATACAATATATGATACTACTATCAATATTTTATTATATACTTTAATCGACTTTAATAACAAATACTATAACTATTTTTTTTTAGTTGAAATAGGAAAAAGTACGTATATATTTAATTTAATTTTGTGCAAAATATATTTATTACCTATCATTTAGTTGAATTTTCCACCATGACAAAATTCTTTAAACAAGATAACAATATATTGTACTAAGAATCATAAGAGTATGATCCATTACTGTTTAAAATGTATTAAAAACTAATAAATACTTTAAAATAAAACTAAAAGTAAAAATATATTATCGATATTGATTCGTATAAGGAACACAACATACAACCAATACGTTTTAAACCATCAGAACTAAAAGCGTCAAATAAGTACATGAAACCGTTATCCAAAAATACTTCACCATCGCGATTTGATTTAATTAACAACATTTTACATGTATATTTGTACAATAACTGTACGATAAGTGTTTACTGTCGTGTATCGCCGTGTTTCGATAAAGTGTGATAGACCAAAAACAAAAAAATAATAACAAAAAACCTATTGCCAAAACGATAAAATTCAATCTATAGGTAATACCTAGGTAAAATTCAATAATAATATCGATTATCGATAAGCTTCGATATTATACGATACCATTAGTTATATTATGAACATATAATATAAATGGCTGTATAATTTATAAGTATTATACTTATAAATTATAATAAACCAGAATTATTTATTTTCAATTTTTTAAAATATATTTTGATGATGATCTATTAAAATAATATTACTTATTTAGTTTATATATATTTTTTTTTTTTTTGACGTCCAATTGTCCCCACGTCCAAACGTCCAAATGGCCACGTCCAAACGGCTACGTCCTACGTCAATTTGTCCCTCTTCGCAAAATTGTATATCTGATTACTAATTTGTTGAATGAATTGAATATTTAACATTAAAACCAAAAAAGCTATTTACTTTTTTGAAATAGTTATATTAAAATTAATTGAAAATTGTCACTTTGTAATTTATTTTCACAGGGCTTTCAAATATGTACGCACAGTATATTGAAGCGAGTATGTATAATTAGGGTTCAGTTTGATTAATTTTGCTTTGTTTGTGATCGAAAAATTGCTATTTATATACTTACACAAATTGATTTCTATTCATATTTTTGGAATTGAAATCCAACAAAAACTTAAAGAATTCTATTACCAATTTATTTTGCAGATAGAGTTCCGGATAATAATTTTTCAAGAACTTACTTTTGTAGTTATCATATCAATACTTCTAATTACAAAAAATTTTTTGTGACCTTGTTAAAAATAGAGTGACATATAAACATTTTGATTAATTATTTTAAAAATAAATATATATTAAAATTTGGAAAAAATACTTTATTATATTATATCATATTCTGATATTCATATGTTACATTTTATTATATTATATTATGTATATGAACTTGGTTCTTGCTATGAATAAATACTACTAAAATAATTTGGCCCATAATTTATATTACAAATAGTTGGTATTTTATATATTATATGTATAATTTATACAATGTGTCCCAGGGCGAAGTGACCGGCTGCCGCCATATGAAAGTATACCTAAAATTACGAAGAAATAACCTTTAAAGTGAGGGTCTAACACTTTTTTTTTGAGTTATGAGCAATTTAAGCTTTTTTAAACCAAACCAAAACTATCACGGATTTTTTTATGTTAATCCGAAACTTTTCAACATTTTAACATCATTTATTTTTTATTTTTAAGCTATTTAATTGTCCTTTCAACCAACATACGCAATTAAACCAAACTTATGTAAATTATTATTATTAAATTGAAAAAAGTAAATTTTTTTTATCAAAAATTGGAATTTTTAAAATTAAATCTCGTATTACTCAAAATAATTCAATATTTAGTATGGATTATTTTAGTTCTGTATTATTCTACAGAATAATACCTAGAATACATTATAAATTTGGTTTTCATATCTTTCATAATCGCAGATTTATACGCAGCTAAACATTACAGGTCTTTTGTGATTTTAATTATTGGCAATTTATAATTTTACTTAACATCAAGCCTAACTTCGGCATAAACTCACTAGAGGTGATATAAATAATGTAATAAGTCAATTTTTTTTTTAATAAAATGAAAATAAACTAGTTCGCAATCAGGTGGGGAACACTTTGAAAATCGTATTAATTAATCAAATAAAGTATAAACATAACATTTATTTCCTTGTTATTTAATTATTATTATTATTAAACTAGTTTAAATAACACAATATTCCTTTTAAGTTTGTCTACCTCTATTATAAAAAAGTTTCTACTGGAGAGGCAAATTCAATTTTTATGAGTGTTTGAAGTTGTAATTTAACATTGGATATTCACTCGGTTTCTCCTGTATCTATCTTCTTATTTTGTTGTAGTTCAAAAACGAATGACTGTAGACACTTGAAATGTACACTATGATCACTTCTTATACTTAATACATTTTTCAAAACATTTTAACTCGTTTTAATCTGCTGACGTACATTTTCAATTTTCATTTTTTTCAATGTTAATTAATTTTTATTGGTTGAGTCAAAAAGCATGAATATTTAATACAAAACTGTTGATATATGAACAGTATAAAAATACATAAGCACGATTTTATTTATAAGCATTTAAAGTACAAAATTTGACAAAATTTATCAAATTGAAAATTGATAATGCTTTTGTAATAAAAAATTCACAAAGCTTTCAATTTTTATAGCTAAGAATTGAAAATCTATAACAAGGTAGCACTTAATCAGTTTTTCCAGTAACTTAAAAATCTAAAATATATAATAATACACTTATTGTTTACAAACATTTTGAGCCCAAATTTAGACAACATGACTTAATAACAACATAAAGAATGACGTTTGTCATTTTGTTGTAATTCAGTTCCAAAACAGCCCAAATTTACATAAGTATATTTAATATTTTTCCTTTATCACTGATAACTTAAGTATAATTCTATGAATAATATTAACTCAACTTATCGTCAAGCGTTTTAATAATAAGTAAAAACAATACAAAAATATATCCTAGACTGACATACCGTCTCCGCTCAGAATCGTTTTTCGTATACAATGATATGATAATTTATAATTAAACTCAAATTTAATACCAGCCATTACAGCGACTTTTTAGACAAATTGAATGTACAGCAGACTGTTTTTTATTTTCCCATAACTGGGAGTCTGGTAAAATTAATGATTACTTTCAAATGAGTTAACTAAGTTAAGTTGAGTTAATTTACAACATCTAAAAAAGTCTAAAGTAGTTATCCTAATATTTTTTAACGTTGTAAAATAAGCTAAGTAAAAAGTTATTTAGCAACTTCCACTTAACTTATCAAGTTATTTTTATTTTTTATTTTTAAATATATAAATATCCTATGATATGGTTTAAAATAATAAAAAGTAAATGTTTATGCAGTACCTAAGTATTATCGATAATAATATTATTATATTTACAATTGAATTAAGGATTTGATTATATATTACAAGTTTTTTATTAGATGTACACCAATAAAAAACAATTGCCATTATTGGATGCCTATTTTAATACCAGTTATAATGGTTCAAAGTCGAAATCCATATCAAAACTCAAAATATGTCAAAAAAGTTAGTGTCATTATAATAGTTTAGTACCATATAGTGCAGGTACGCAATAAATAAACTATTTAATAATTATATTTAGAGAACAAGATAGTGTATTATAAATGTAAGATCTACAAGCAAAAAAAAGAGACACTGTATAAAGTTGTAAATATTATAAATATATCCCGAGAATTGGGAAGGTGTAACTTACACATTTGAAATTGTCGGCAAAATCTTATTCAGCCAAGTGTATGAGGCCACGTATTTGACGATGATCATACATCTGTTTAAATGTGCCACTGATGAGTCATATTAAATGTGCATTTTAAGCAATCGATTTATTTTAAACATTATTTTTTTGTGCTCATACTCACTGTGTAAAATAATTTAATTATGAATAAATTGACGTAACTTGGGTTTGACTAAATGTTACTCATTACTTATTAAATTTACATCAAAACCGATTTGTAAAACTTTTTTTAAGCACCGAGTAAAATCGTTAGAACCGAAATCCATATCGAAACTCAAAATTCATATCACAGAAATTAGTGTCATTATAATAATGTAGTATACCATAGCATGTAGGCACACAATACATAAACTAGGTTATAATTATATTTATAGAACAAGATAGCGTATTAATAAATGTAAAATCTACCAACAAAAAAAAAAGTGACACTGTATAAAGTTATAAACATTATAAATATATCCCAAAAATTGGGAAGGTGTAACTGTGTAAGACTAACTTGGAACTGTGCAGCGGTGGCAGCCTTTTTGGTGCACATGGAAATTATAACCTTGATGCGAGGTTATACAGAATATAACAGAAGGACCTTACAAATGAAATAACCATTGTTCAAAATCCATATTTTTTTTTTTTTAATATACATATAAATTATTGAATTTTGTGTTACTCGCATGGGAAAGGATTTATTTTGGACATTTTTTTAACTAAGGATTTAGATTACTAACGGACTATTATAAAAAAAACCCAAACCCCCAACCTCTTAAAAAATGTTGGCCTCTGTCTGGTCCACCAGGTATCAAAATTTTGGCTCCACCATTGCTCAGCCATGACGTAAGACCCGTCGTTGTGACTTTGTATACTCCATTTATGAATATGGCAAGCAATTTGAAATAGCAAACGAGTTCTCCGAAAATGTTTTTACAAGAGTCATCGGGCTAGAAATTATGTCTTCATATTATTGTCGTCTGTTTGTTAGTAATGCACTAATGCAATATTCACATGTGAGTATGTGACACATTTGCTCCAATGGTTATATTTGATACAGTGGCTGTGACTAAACCACTAAAAATACTTTCGTTATGGTGGCCAGTGTGGCTAACTTTACGGTAAATATTGAAATTAGAGAAATTAAATTGGGAATATCAGATCTGGGAAAAGTAAAGCTCGGAAAAAAATGATTGGGAAAATCGGTTTGGAAAACTGTATTACAATCCAATTCCAAAAGTAAACTATATTTTTGATATATATTACACAAGTAAAACATGATCCAAATTGGTCAAACCAAGTATTATATAATATATATTATAAGCTATATAAATAAAATTGGAAAATATAAGCTTGTCTGTTTATTGGGTTTTCTTAATTATTGTGTATAAAAAATACTTTGTCCTGTCAAAAAACTTGAATATATGTTACAATGTAGTAATCGTTGGTAGTGGAAATTAAAAAAAAATTCGAGGGTGACTTCACAATATTTTATGATGAGTTTCTGAGATTACAATGTAGACAAAATTCATCAAATTCCGGCAAATTGGCAAATTATTTCGAATTTGATATTCATCATTTTTTTTTTGAATACGTAAATTTTGAAAATTGATTTTTAATATTATCAAATTGTTGCGTATACATTGTAATCCATAGAAAAATGTATTTAAATTTTAAATGCATAGTTACAAATAAACTAATTGTTCGTGGATAATTTTTTTTGTGTTTTGATCGTCCGTGAAAGTGTCATAAAGTTTATTTTTTGCAGTTTAAAATTTATACTATACAAGTACTTCTAAATAAAATACATAGTATTTGTCTTGACATAAAGAGTTGGCGCCATGGGGCTCTTGGCTCATTTTGATTATTGTTGTTATTGTTATTGTTATCACTGGTATTGGCATTATGGTTGTTGTCGTTATTGTTAATCATATTTTTATCGTGCATTTGCGAATGATTGTTCCTAGTTAAGCGCATCCTTTTGGCACTATTTGTGGAGCGGCCAAGGTTTGATTTCTTTGTCTTGGGCATAATGTGACCAATAAAAAAAAATCCTTCAAAATTAACAACTTAACCAAATCCTAATTAATCATTAACTAACTTAATTAAAACTGCATGATAATTGAATAAGAAGTTTCGAACCAAAACCGTAACAAAGATTTCCTCTTTTGCTTGATTTCAGTTTTATATACATAGAGATATATATAATCTTAAATTAAATTGTCATTGTTATCGTTATTTAATAACTAACTTGTTGTAACATGTAATATGTTGATACATTTCGATTTAACAAAAAATAAGCAAGGGTCGTAATAATACAGTAGGTGCGAACAAATGTAGAGGAACGAATATAATATTATAATATTGTCTCTGAGTATAACGAGCTTATTAATAACACTGATATAGTTGGGTACCTCACGGATATTGGTCATAATTTAACATTTTAAAACACTAATTTATTAATGCTCCTTTTTGTATTATACTTATAGGTACAATTTAAAATTAACATTTTTTTAATAATTTGTATAATAATTTATAATTTTATAATTTTAACAATTTGTTAATACTTAATAACAATGGTATAATCGCAAACCCCCACTGGTCATAATTTAAAATGTTAATACACTTTTATATTTTATTTGTACTACTTTTTTTTTATTATTACCATTTTAAAAAGAACTTTTTAGAAAAAGAACGTTTGGGAAAATGGTATTATGAAAAAAACTTTTGAGAAAAATGGTATTGAGAAAAAGAACTTTTTGGGGGGAAAAAAAAATGTGAAAAACAGATTGGGAATGGTGTCTCCCTACCTGGGAATTAAATATAAAAATGTCATACCTACATTAATCATTAATTCGTTTTTGCACAGCTGGCCGTACTTTTCAAAATGTGTCTACGTTTCTGCCAGCATTTTATCTTTAGCTTGTATGAACAGATGAGTAAACCTAAGTTATAAGAAATCGGCGTGGTTACTTATATTCATAAACGTTTCATATAACGACTGTACGCTAAATCGTATTGCTAAGGCTATACGTTCCTGATCACATTTTAGGTAGGTTTAACTAGTTACTACAGATTATTACTACATTATAGTTGGGTGTACTTAAATATTGAATTCAGAAAATTAACAAAGACGATTATTATTTTTTAAATAATTTTTAACAAAAATTACTTATTCGGACCGGATGATATATGTACATTTTACGTCCATATTCCCATGACCTATCTAGTATTTGTGTTGGTATTAATCATATGTTTCATACCTTGTTAAATGTAGGAACACTCTAGGGGAATTTTGTACTTAAATTTCAAACCTTTTATACATGTAAGATGTAACTTTGGGAATTGAATATAAAATTGTTCTACTTTAATTATTAATTCGTCTCTGTACAGCTGGCCGTGCAATTCAAAACGTATCTGCGTTCCTACCATCGTGGTTAGATTGTATAAACAGATGAGTAAACTTAAATTACAAGAAATCGGCGTGATTGCTTATGTTCAAAAATATTTCAAATAACAAATAACAATTGCACTATAAATAAATCATATTGCTTGGGCACTTGAAAGTTGAATTCATATAAAACTGTAATAAATTTTAACCAAAATAATTTTTGGACCTGACGATAGGTACCAATAACTGATAGACTTTGCAAATTAATGATTACTTATTAATGAGTTAACTAAGTTAAGTAAGAAATAAAACATTTTAAAAAGTCTAAAGTCGTCATCTTAATATTTTTCTAACTCTGTAAAATAAGCCAATTAAAAAGTTATTTAGCAACTTACACGTAACTTTTCGAGTTATTTTTTATTTTTTTTTGATATATAAATAGTAATTTGGTTTAAAATAATAAAAAGTGATTGTTTATGCAGTATGCATCATCAATAAAACTTTTATTATATTTATAATTAAATTATTTACAAATTAAGGTAACTTGGATTTGATTAAATGTTTCTCGTTATCGTTATGTATTAAATTTACATCAATAAAAATCAGTTACCGATATTGGATATCTATTTTAATATCAGGCTGGACCGTTAAAAACCGATATCCATATCGAAACTCAAAGTTTATATCAAAAAAATTAGTATCGGTATTCCAAAGAAAAATCGAAAACGGTAGATATTATTTACCTATTGTACCTACATTAATTTGTTAAGGAATTACTAATGAGATGCTTAAAATAAGAATATCGAGTGCAGTTAAATTTCTGACATTTTTAAATATCATTTGAGGGTCCTTGAAATTGTTTATGTATAATATAATTATAATTTATTCACGCAATAACATTTTGTATTCAATTTATTTGCAAAATCTTATTCATCCAACTGTATTTGCTAGGCCACGTATAAAACAACGATCATACATCTGTTTAAATGTGCCACTGAGGCACATTTATGTGCATTCTAAGTAATCAACTTATTGTAAACATTATTTATTTTAAGCTCATACTCACTGTGTGGTTAAGGAACATGTCATTTATAAAAGAAATCAAGAAGTTGTATTTTATATCATTCGTTCTTTAACGTTCACTTCATTTTTTTATTTTTTTATAATTTTATAATTTCTTATACAGTTATACCTATCAAATCAAAATGATTTTTTTTAAGCAGTATTTAATAACGTCGACATTCATACTATTTGCAGTTTTTATTATGCATGCATCTTCAATAGATGAGCAACAAAGTAAAGAAATAATCGGTAATGATTAATTTACTGATTTATAATGATTACATAATTTGTGTTTTTTTTATTTTGTCAATATAAATTTACCAACGATTATTTGTATAATATTTCAAAATTAATTAAAAACAAAAACTGTTTATTGTTATTTTATGATAATCTAGAAACAACAAGAACTTATACCATAGCTTACTTTTTCAAATTAAATATTCTGACATATGATTTGTAGAAACTTATTCTTGTATATACATTACGCACTAAAGATTAATTATATTGTATTAAAAATGTCTTTATTCATAACATTCGTTTGACGTAGTGACATTTTATTTTATTTTAGTCAAGAAAACATCAAATAATATCGTCAACAATTACATAAATAATTTTTTTTAGTCATAGGTTTAGAACATAATAACTACGGGTAGTTTTTAATAAATATAATGACGTACACAAAATAATTGTATAACTGATTAAATATTTTTAATTGTTTTTGTAATTTAGAGTAAATAGAAAATATTGAATAATAAAAATAATTTTCATTTTCTTCAAGTAATATTTTTAATTAGTTATTCGTAAACAAATAGTAATCGAGAATATAAAATATAAAAAACAAAATGTAATGAATTCCAAACATGTACAAAAAAGTATTGTATGGGTCTGAACTTGCACACTGAGAAAATTACAAGAAAATAAATTCTAATACTAAAAAAAAAAAAATATTATGGATGTTAATTTTATCTAATAACCTTGGGTTTTTTTTATTTTGTCAATATCAATTTACCATTAACTATTCATACTTGTAATAGAACCTAATGTGCTGAAACATTTAAAAAATAATATTATATAATATAACAACAAAAACTTTCACCGTAGCTACTTTTTTAAAATTAAATATTCTGACATACGATTTAAAAAAATGTATTCTTGTATATGTGCACTAAAGTTTAATTATATTGTATAACAAATGTCTTTCTTCATAACATTCGTTTTACGTATAGAAATTTAATTTAATTTTAGTCAAGAAAACATCAAATATTATTGTAAACAATTACATAAATAATTTTTTAGTCGTAGGTTTAGAACATAATTACAACCGGTAGTTTTTAATAAATTTAATGATGTATTCAAAATAAAATAAAGTAAAGTATTTCTTTTTTAATTCATAGTTAATACACAAAATTGAATATAAGAGATTATTTTTCGTTTTTTTTTAGAATGTTGTGAAAGTAATATTTTTAATTAATTAATTATTAGTAAATAAAGAGTAACCTGGAATATTTAAAATATAAAGAATTTAAAATATTCCCAAAAAATATTTTTATGTGTCTGAAACTTGCACACTGAGGAAATTATATGAAACTAAATTCTTAATACTAGAAAGAAAAAATATTATGGAAGTTTATTGTGCAAATAAAAGATGTCGAACAACAGAGCGGATTTGCGAAGAGAAAATTAAAAGTTAGAAGCAGTATACAACGAAACATCAGTTTTATAGAGACTATCATAAAGGTATCACTGGATAGGCAGTGCCGGCGCTAAGTATTGCGGGGCCCTGGACATAGGTATTGGCCTTTAGGTTCTCAGAGAGGGGTGAAATTTTAGCTTTTTTTAAATTAGGATTTTAAAAAAAATACAGTTTTTCTTCGAATTTTAAACACTATGTCACTATAATAATATTAGGTTATTCTTATCCTTTTTTTTATTATAACGTGTTAACACAAAATTGATTAAAAATAATAAAATAATAACTAATTATATAGGTACATACAACAACAATATATAAATATATAATTGAAATAAGAACATATTAAAGTACAAAATCATTGTAATAACTAATCTTATGTCATTGTTAATAATTGTCAAACGTCAGCCAGTGGCCTTCGCGGCCGAGGCTTATTCTAATAAAAAAAAAAAAGAACATATTAATTTTATATTAAAATATTTTTTTTCTCGATTTACTCTGAGCAAATGCGTTGATGACTTCTTCATAATTTATCGATTTTGATATCTCTTGTTCAATTGAAAGCAATGCAAGGTCCGATAATTTGTCTTGTCCAATTGAATTTCTTAAATACGACTTAATTATTTTGAGTTTTGAAAAACTTCTTTCTGCACAAGCCGATGCTACTGGTATCGTCAACATTATTCGTAATGAAATTGTAATATTTGGAAATGAACCACCAATTTTTTTTAACTCTGCCAAAGCTTGAAGAGGTGTAACTTCTTCGTCAACTAAAGTTCGAAAAATCACAATTTCCGCAAATAAATCCTGTCCATCTATATCTTTAGAAGATTCGTCCGAAAGAACTAAGTGTAGGTCTTTGCAACACTTCATTAGTTCATCGTCTTGCATATCTTTTAATTTACCAATGTGGTATAGAAAACCAAAATTATTTGAATATGATTCCAGTTGTTTAAAACGTTTATCCAATGATTTAATAGCCTGGTCCAATATGACAAAGAAATATGTTATTTTAAAATGTTCTTCTTCATTTTCAATAACTTCATCATTAGCTTCATAATCAAATAATTTCTTTTTTTTTCTAAGTCTACATTTTTTGAAGACTGATTCTGTGCCAACTAAATTTACTAATTCATTTGATTTGATTTTGGCTGATTCATAACCAATTTCTCTGTAATTTTTTAAATATTCAAGAAGACCAAAAACCAATTTGGTTGAAACACATATGTCCATGTTATGGTTCTGTAGACTTTTACTTACGATATTCGTTTCCATTAAAATGTCGTACCAAATGATCAGACTTAAAATAAATTCATAACTAGAAATTTCTTTTAATAACGATAGAGCTTCACTTCTTGCTACCAAATCATTAGTGTCATCAGAAACTTCTTCTAGAGCATTCATTATAAATGGCAGCTGAAAACGCAATGCTTTAACGCTATTTAAACGACTCTCCCATCGAGTTTCGGACCACTGTTTTACTGTAAATTGTTTACAGTTACTTTTTAATATATCCCAGCGACTAACAGAAGCTGAGAATAAAGTATATACGCGACGTAATATACCAAAAAAAGTGATGGCCCTTAGTGAGTTTTTCGCTGCATCACAGAGAACTAGATTAAGACTGTGAGCAGTACATGGTGTAAAAAAAGCCCTAGAATTTATGTTTGAAATTCGAGACTGTACTCCTTTATATTGTCCGACCATGTTAGAGCCGTTGTCATAGGCTTGACCTCGACAGTCTTTAAGATCTATATTATATATTTTTAGTTGTGAAATAAGTATTTCTGATAAATGCAATCCCGTTGTTGATTTTACATTAATGAAATCTAAAAAATATTCTTTTATCGCTGGAGCACTTTTCGTATTTTTTTCATCCATATTTACAATTCTAATAAGAATTGTAAGTTGTTCGATGTGACTAATATCTGGAGTTGTATCCATTATGATTGAAAAATATTTAGCTGTCTTTATTGAATCGATTATTTTTTTCTTTACTTCAGCTGCCATCATTTTTATGAGTTCATCTTGTATCTCATGCCCTAAATAATGAACATGGGTTTCTTTATTTTTAATTCGATTTACATGTTCCAGTATAACAGGATCGAACTTGGCCAACATTTCTATCATACCGAGAAATTTTCCATTACTCTTAGTATACAAAACGTCCGAAGAACCTCTAAATGAATCATTATTTGAAGCTAAAAATTGAATTATTGATAAAATTCGAATAAGTACATTTCTCCAATGATTTTGTTCTTTTTCGATCAACGCTTGATGTTTTTTATCGATTGTTTCATCCATTTCTATTCTAGTTTTTAATTCGAACCAAGACTTGACAGACTGAACGTGGTGTTGCGATCTTTCATGAGATATTAACTTGTCCGACACATGTCTCCAGTCACTTATACCTACTGTTGCCAAATCACTGTGACATTTTTCATTTATAAAAATTTTACAGCAAAAACAGAATACGCAATCTTTGATTGGAGAGTATACAAGCCAAACACGATCTACTTTTTCATTATTTGCTAATATTCGGTAAAATAATTTTGGAGAAAATTTTCTCTGAGATCCATCGCTTTGAATTGTAGCTGGAAAGTCGAAAATCTTTAAATGGGTAGGTCCTAACTCAACAATTTTGTATTTAACTTCTTGGCTTATATTATTTGGCCAATTTCCTGGATCCTTCCACTCATCCAAATTGTAAATAGTCAACTGACCTTCTTCGTCACTTTTTAAGTTATTTTTTTCAGTATTATCATCACTTTTAAACAACTTATCTTCATCTGCATCTAAATTATCTTTTTCATTTTTCGATGACTCGCCTTCTTTATTACTTTTTAAGTTATTTTCTTCATCATTATTATCACTTTTAAGCGACTTATCTCCATCTGAATCATCTCTTTTCAATGAAATAAATCTATTAATGGAGCCGCGTTGTTTATTAATAAACTCTTCATTCTTTCGTTTTTTCTGTCTTTTAGCACTACCCGATTCATACTTTCTAAACATATCTCGTTCTCGACCAGCCATAATAACCTATGTTTTTTAATTATAAATAATTTGTATCAATAAATTTAAAAGTTTGAAATTGTTTTGTAGTTTTACAATGATTTTATGATGATTTTATTTGAAATTACCAGTGTTGTGCAAAGATAACCAACAAATTATATTTATATATTTGTAAATAAAATAATATAAAGTTTGTTCTATTTTTTCTATTATTTGCACTTTTCTCTAATATTGTCTAAGTACATTTAGGATGCAAACAACACTTAGGCTAATAATCACTGTAATCGAAGCCTTTGAATTAAAAAAAATAATAATAATAAAGTATAAGATTATGATTTATTTTACTATTGGAGACACAAAATAAGCAAAATCTGTTTTTTTTTGTTTATTACTTAATACCTAATTATAATTTATAAAAACATAATCACTTTATAATAAAACTTTTTCTTTTTTAAACATATTTTGTTTATAATCAGTTAGTAATACCTTATACTAAAATTTAAAATGATAACTAAACAATTACTGAATAAAAATTATAATGTTAATAATAAACAAAATAATGAACATAATATAGTTGTTTAGTAGTAGTAGTTAATATATTTGTTTAGAACACGTTATAGACACGTTTTAAGTAGATTGACAAATGACAAGTATTATATGTATTATTGATATTATTATATTAGGTATTATTATAGTAACTATAATATAACTGTTATAACATGTGCAAGTTTGAAAATTTTTTATTTTTTTCCTTACTAGATTACCTAAATATTTTTATCTAGATAATGCACAAGTGCACAACACTGGAAATTACAAACTTTACTCTAAACTAAAGTGTAATAAAAATTTCATAAAATGAAAACTTACACTTGTGATATGCAGAAATATTTGAAAAAATACAGGAACGTCGAACGTGCAAAGTGGACTGCGGTCAAATACTCAATTAATGTCGAACTTAATGTTAGATAATCAAATAAATATTTTAAAAATATAGCTTTGTACCCTTCTATAATACGGCGATACGGGAATACAATACGCGATTACGATTTCGTCGTATCGATAACGATTTACTCAGTTACTCTGTAGTTTGTACTATGGCTAAATTTAGATATCGTTTTCCAAATAACTGTAAACTGGTGATAGACGATAGTCATAATATAGATTTATAATTGATCGATATAAAATGTCAATGTGTCTCACGGTATTAAGATATGATAAATAAAAATCACGGGGCCCTTTAAAGAGCGCGGGGCCCTGGACAAATGTCCCATTTGTCCTCCCCTAGCGCCGGCACTGTGGATAGGACATGCAATGAGAGCTAATTATTAAGAGCTGTGATGAAACAGGATCTGGAATAAACCAAACTTTAAGTTAGACGACACAGGAATGAAGGACTTTAATGCAATAGGAGGTGGTTTGAATCGGAATAATCTGGAATAAGATGTAGATGGTTGGAGAAATTGTTGTGAGACGTGATGGTCTAAACACTCTAAACGGCCAGATAAACTTGAAGATGTTAGGAGATGATAGTGTATGATAAAAAAATTATTTTAAAGAGGTTAATGTAATAATATTGAGTATTTATACAAAATAATAACTATTATAAGAAAGTACCATAAAAAGTGAGTTGTAAGATTCAGTGGCTCGTAATCGAATCATTTGAGATTAGTGTATCAATAAATATGAGCCATCATTTCATTAAATTTATAGTACCTATCTAAGTATAGTTGTATATAATTTGAATTTTAACAGAAATTGTGTTCCATGAAGACATTATTCGTAAGATTATTAATATTAACAAATATAATGCATTACATTTTTTTTCAAATTTTTACTAGGCAGGATTATAATTTGTAAACATTGATTTTTAGGAATTTATAGATAAATTTAAGGTTTCTTAATTTTAAATATTTGGACATAATACAGACAATTATTTATTTATTTTGTATGAAAAATATATTTGGTATTTTTTTTAAGAGTAACTTTTTAACATCATAAAACCGAATGGATTTTAATATGTATGCTGCAATCTTTATAAGTCATTCGTGAATCGAATTTAATATTTTATCCCTGTACAGAATTTTTATTTATAGGCTTTTAAGCTTTTCTCGCTCAGAATAATTAATTTAAGAAATAATATTAAATACGTTACAAGACTCACATTGATTCATTCTGTGTGGTTTTGTTCTATGATAACACTAGAATAATTAAATTTTCAGATCTGTCTACGCCAGCAATGCTTAGAGGAAACGTGCAATATGGTATTTATTTGAAATACGTATGTGTGTTGTTTTCCCCCTCCCTAGAGCTGTGCTCTAGATACGTGGATTTATATTACGAACGAATTAGGAGTAAATGTCATATTCTGTAAATTTTAAACTTCTCCAATAAAAAAGCAATCATACATTTTTATGAATCTTAGATTTAATATTTTGAAAATTCTTTGAAATTTTAGCTATTATATGAAATGGAAACATAAAATTGATTTACAAATAATTATATTATAATTATATTAGGGGGAATTGATGATGGGCAGTAATTTTCGCTAAAACATACCAATCTTTTGTCCATTAGAGGTACTATTCATACTGATATACCTAATTATGCGATAATAATTTTTAAAACTGATTTACATTCTTTATTAAGTCTACTTGAGATCGGTCAGTCCAATTTTCACAATTTCACCCTCCCCCTGCCTCTGCCCCTAAAAAGTAAAAATTTGGTTTGAATATTTTGTAATTTCAACTTTAATCTTACTCTCTTACTCGAGATAAACATATCACTCAACAGATCACATATTTTTTTTTTTTTTTTTTTTGATCTTAAGCTTCGGCAACTGAGGCCATTAGCTGTAGTAGGATTTGTATTGTAGGTTTGTTGTGTATTGTATATTTTGGGACGGTAGGGGGGAACACGTGTGTGTTTGTTTTTGGCAGAATTTCGAATGGGGCACCCGTAGGTTTCTGCCATGCCCCGGGGGTGGGGGATGGCAGCACTTGTTCTCCGGTCACCGCGACTTGTCCGGAGAAAAATGCCGCCCGGTAGCCGAGGATCGAACCGCGACCGGCTGCGTCGCAGCGGACGCGTCAGACCACTCGGTCACCTCATCCCCCTCACATATTTTATCATGTGGGTTAAAAGGTAATTCGCCCAAGCGCAGGATATCTATTTCTTTTACACACAATCTCATGCACTTATTATTATTATACTTATTATACGTACCCATTTCCAAGGCTGGCATGTTTACAATTAAAAATTTCCTGTTTGAAACTCCTTAAAAAATTGCCCAGTATATATATACATTTAAATTGCTTAGGTACAAAAACATTATAATGTTTATTAACATTTGATGCAAATAATTAAGTTTGTAAATAAAATGTATCTATATCTATTTATTATTGCAATTATTCAATTTTCTTTGTTTTTAGCTGGCATACGTACGTATTTTTTATAGATTTTTGAATTAATTAATTCATTAAATAGAAAATGTCGATTAGTTCTTTAACAGTTTACATATGACTGAATTGTGAATTGATTATATAAGGCAAGGAATTACACATATATCTGTATATTATTATTGTATAATTATGTAAATCAAACAAAAAATATACATACTTTGAAAATGTTAAGTCGGTACAGTTATTGCTTATTAGACTGTACTTCGACTACTTTATGATCAAAATTACTAACTATATTTACCGAACGCAAATGTAAATGATATTAAATATCGGTGCTTTAGACGCCACAGGTGTAGTTAAACTTTTTTTCTTAATTTCCACTAACACCAACTTGCGAGGAACCTTGTATTACATTTTCAAGCTTATTTTAAGAGGAAAACATTTTTTATGGACTCTAATTATAATTTAAAAAATAATAATTAAAACCAAAAATTTCGTATTCCTGCAAATATAATTCGACATGAGTCGAAAGATTTTAAAATTATAAGCTAATTTTGCTAGTATAAGCATTCATTGAAGTCTTCATGTATCTATATTTTCATTTTTCTAACCGATTTTTTGTTACCCTTTGTTTATCACCATAGATACGGCGAAAATGAAAAAATTACATAATTTCCACTATCTAGTTATAGGTGTACTCGTATACACATTAATAGTCACTCATTAATACATATTAATAATTCGTAATTTTAAAATTTTCTTTGAAGTGGAAAATATCAAGAATCATTATATGTTTATGTCACACGATCATCACCTTGTATAACATAACTATTTTTTTTTTGTGTACACGTTATAGATAAAAAGTTGAAGTTATGATTCGAATTTCAACTTCAGTATCTTTTTCAGATTAAAAAGTGAACCTAGTTGGTACATTAGGGAGGCCAAAACTTAAAATTCAAAGTAGTTTTCAAACGCGTTAAGAAAAAAAATAAAATCACGAATTTTTAAGCAAAATCAGTTTTCGATGAAAACAAATTTGTTTTTTGAGTTACTTAAAAACTCTTAATCACCGAAGATACTTACAATTACCATTGAATATCTACATTAGCATTTCTCACACACCATAAAGTTTAAAAAATACTTTGCCTCTTTTTAAACTATTTGTATAGGCATTACAAAAATGTCATTAGTTTTTTTTATAATTAACGTTGATAACATTTCCCCTCTGTTGACAAACATGAAAATTTTAATACAATGTTCTTCGTAAGTGAACATTAAAAAAACGTTTATTTTAGTGAAAAATTGTGTTTCTACGACTACCCAGAACTGAGGAAAACTTGAAGCACGAAAGCATGTTTATACGGTCGAAATTCGTTAACAGAACGGCCTCTTAAAAACGAATTGTCTATAAATGTAGTATACTCAGATACTGCAAGTATTTCAACAATGAATTAATATTGGTGAGAAAAATTTGGCAAGTTCTCACTTACTATATGTCTATTAATATTGAATAGTTTTGCATTTGACGAGTGCAATGGATATAGAAAGAAAGCTTAGAAATATAAACATGCCATTTAAAATTACGTAAAACTCAAATGCCCGAAAACGTCGCCCTTGTTTCAA